ATCCCCCCCCCCCCGGGCAGCTCCAGCGGCGACAAGGACGGCCTCTGCCTCTGGGAGCGTGACGATCTGTATGAAGGTCCATTACATATCATTGCAATCCAGGATCTTTCCTCAGGGCTGTATCCTTCCCAGTCCACCAGATATTCCAAACAGCCGCCTCGTCGCTGAGAGTCCAAGATGGTGTTGACACAGTAGACGAGTTGTTCGTTGTCGATCTCTGGAGGAGGAGGTCCATCAGGTTCGCCAGATCCTGAGGAGGAAGAGACAAGAGGATTAGTGAATGGCTTAAGGAGTGAGACATGAAATGTTGGATAGATGCGGTAGTGTGCTGGGAAAGCTGATAAGTGACATCATTGATCTGTCTCCGGATGGGTAAATGGACCTATGTAGCGGGTACTCAGTTTGCGACAAAGTAGTCGAAGACAAATGTCCCTGGTAGAGAGCCAGACCTTCTGTCCCGGTTTGGTAGCGCTGGAATGGTGAGTGTTGGCCTGGCTCTTCTGTCTCCGAACTGCCTGTTGCAGGTGGACATGAGCTGAGTCCCAAACCCTCACCCTCTCCTGGAACCAGAGGTTCACAGCTGTAACATCTGATGGCTCACCAGACCAGGGAAACGGGTGTGGCTGGAAGCAGAGTATGCACTGGGTACGGGATAAGTCCCGTGGTGTTCTGTCATAGGGAGCTGATGGAGACTCCCAGTAGCTGGAAGAAAGCTGGAAGAAAGCTGAAAGCTGGAAGAAAGCACCTGAGAGATGAACTGGGGTCCGCGATCTGAGACTATATATTCGGGTAGCCCGAAGTTTTGGAACAAATGTTTCCAGTGTGGTGAGTAGTCCTTTTAGAGGATGAGTTTGCAGGCTTTTGAGAACCGGTCCACGGCTACCAGGATGCAGGTGCAGGTGTGCGAGTGCGAAGTAGGTAGGTCCATTGCAAAGTCCACTCCGAGGTGAGACTAGGGTCGACATGGAATGGGTAGAGGAACCAGCTTTTCTTCAGGGAGACGACAAGGAGTCTTGGACATGGCACAGACTGAGCAGCTCTTCACATACCGGGAGACATCCTGGGTCATATTGGGCCACCAATAGTGGTTTTGGAGGAGCGAGAGGGTTTGCAGGCTGCCTAGGTCCCCAAAGAGCTTGGAGAGGTGTAAACTGACTCCAGAAGTGTGAGCCGCAGAGATGTACGTACATAGACCTTCCCTTCTGGACCTCCCGGCGGAGCAGGTTCAGAGCGAGTGGCTTGGATGGGGCTTACGATCATGGCTGGAGGGAGGATAGGTTCAGGAGGCGAGTTGTTTTGATCAGAGTGATGGATGCGGGAGAGTGCATCGGCCTTTTGGTTCTTGAATCCTGGTCAGTAAGTGACAATGAAGTTGAATCGGGTGAAGAACAGAGCCCAGCGGGCCTGTCTGGGGTTAAGCCGCTTAGCATCACGGAGGTATTCTAAATTGCGGTGATCGGTAATGACTTTGAACAGATGCCTTGCTCCCTCCAGCCAATGATACCATCCTTCCGAGGCTAGTTTAATGGCCAGGAGTTCACGGTTGCCGATGTCGTAATTGTGCTCCGCTGGGGACGGTTTCTTGGAGTAGAAGGTGCAAGGATGGAGGACGGGAGGCTCTCCTTGTTGCTGAGAAAGCACTGATCCTACCCCGACCGATGAACTGGGGTCCGCGATCTGAGACTATATATTCGGGTAGCCCGAAGTTTTGGAACAAATGTTTCCAGTGTGGTGAGTAGTCCTTTTAGAGGATGAGTTTGCAGGCTTTTGAGAACCGGTCCACGGTGATGGATGCGGGAGAGTGCATCGGCCTTTTGGTTCTTGAATCCTGGTCGGTAAGTGACAATGAAGTTGAATCGGGTGAAGAACAGAGCCCAGCGGGCCTGTCTGGGGTTAAGCCGCTTCAGAGTGATGGATGCGGGAGAGTGCATCGGCCTTTTGGTTCTTGAATCCTGGTCAGTAAGTGACAATGAAGTTGAATCGGGTGAAGAACAGAGCCCAGCGGGCCTGTCTGGGGTTAAGCCGCTTAGCATCACGAAGGTATTCTAAATTGCGGTGATCGGTAATGACTTTGAACAGATGCCTTGCTCCCTCCAGCCAATGATACCATCCTTCCGAGGCTAGTTTAATGGCCAGGAGTTCACGGTTGCCGATGTCGTAATTGTGCTCCGCTGGGGACGGTTTCTTGGAGTAGAAGGTGCAAGGATGGAGGACGGGAGGCTCTCCTTGTTGCTGAGAAAGCACTGATCCTACCCCGACCGTAGAGGCATCTACTTCAACGACGAAGAGAAGATCTGGATCAGTCAGTGTAGGAGCGGTGCAGAAGGCTTTCTTAAGCTGATGAAAAGCTTGGATGGCGGCAGGTGTCCAGGATGGAGACTTGGGCTTATCTTTCAGGAGGGCGGTGATAGGAGCACAGATTTGGCTGAAGTTTGCGATGAACTGATGATAGAAATTGTCTTTGTGGAACTCACATTTCTCCAACTTGAAGTAAAGGCGTTGTTCCTTCAGTTTCTGGAGGACCTGCTTCATGTGGTGGCGATGTTCAGCCAGGTTCCGGGAGTAGATGAGTATATCATTGATGTACACCCGTGTTTCTCAACCCTGGTCCTGGGCGCCCCCCAACACTGCACATTTTGTATGTCTCCCTAATCTGACACACCCATTTCAGGTCCTACAGTTTCTTCTAATGAGCTAATGAGTTGAATCAGGTGTGTTTGATTAGGGAGACACACAAAATGTGCAGTGCTGGGGGGCGCCCAGGACCAGGGTTGAGAAACACTGATGTACACGATCACGAAGTGATGGAGGAACTCCAAGATACAGGCTCCGCGCAGCTGCTCTAGGGAGGCAGGGACCAGAGGAAGAGGGTAACAGTATTTAATGGTTTGTGAGTTCAGAACACGGTAATCAATGCAAGGCCGCAAGCCTCCATCCTTTTTTCTGATGAAGAAGAAGCTGGAAGCTGCTGGAGAAGTGGATGGGTGGATGAATTTTTGTTTGAGAGCCTCCTCAATATATTCCTCCATGGCCTTCTGTTCTGGGATGGACAGTGGGAAGATCTTTCCCTTGGGTAGACTAGCCCCAGGCAGCAGGTCAATGGCACAGTCCCATGACCAGCGTGGTGGTAGCTGGGTGGCTGCCTGCTTGCTTGCTAAATCTGTGGTTTCTGGACTCTCAATTGTGGTGGATGCAAGGTCTACAGGTCTGCAGGAAGTGGATAGGTGAGGTCTTGATGGAGATCCGGAAGATATGCCCTTAGGTGATAAGATAGGTTCATAATAGGTGAAAGACAGGATGATGTTGAAAGGCGGTTATGAGTGAGGTCTCATTCCACCCGCTGGTGTCCGCCAGAGTGCAGAATTGGAGAGCATATTCTCTCCCAGATGAACTACATTGGCAAAGCCGAAAGATTTGGTCCTGCACAGACAGGGTGGATGCTGTTTGGCCGAAAACCTCCTTGAAATGGGTAATGAACACCATGAGAGAAGTGGTTACTGGACCATTGGCTTTCCATATGGCTCTTGCTCATTGAAGGGTGCGTCCCGACAGGAGCGAGATGATGTTGAAGGAGAGGTGAGAGGTAGGAGTGACTGATGAAGTGTTTCCACGAGTTCAGCAAAGTGATCCGGGTTGGGGTTGGCAGACGGTTCCATTTGTCATTGCATTATTGGTCTAGTCTTCTATTATGAAACAGAAGGACACAGGACAGGGACTGATACAGATGGGATGTTTATTGACAATATGGAGGCAGGCAGATAAATGGATGAGTAAAGCAGACTTAGCTGAAACACCGGTGAGTAGTGACAAGCAGGTAAGAGTCCACAATGGTGAATGCTCAACAGGAAGATGAAGATGGAGGATCGAGGAAGGTAAGTAGAACAGGTAGGTAGCCAGTTTGTTGCGCAAGGTAACAACAAGACCAAACAAATGAGAAGTGCACAGTGAGGGTTTATAAAGGGTGGCTTGATTGGTGAAGGCAGGTGCGGTGAATCAGAACTGGGGATTGTGAATGAGTGGGTGGAGCCGCAGGATCTGCCGTGTCTGGTGACTCCGTGACAGTAAGGGCATTTAAATTTTTGGGTGAACTATTCCTTTAATCGGATCTGTGCATTGAAAACGTCCATTATAGGCCTCAAATTACAGCAGTAATTAACACATTTCTATCAACAAATCACATCCAAAACCTAATAGCTGAGGTCACGGAGTTAACTGCTGCAGGAAATGCCACCCTCTACACAGTGAGTAAACTTTTTTCCTGTCTAAATAACGGAGTTCATTTGGAATTATTCAACGTTTAAGAACAAGTAAAAGCCACCGTTCCTTGAGTAGTGGGTGGAGCTAATGCACAAGCAACAGTCTGATTAGCTAGCGCTCATCTATTACGTCCCCATTTTGATTTCAGCAAATCAGTTTGAGCAAGCACAGACAGTGTGATTAATATTCATTAACCCAGCAGCTCATCAGACCTTAGCACATTTTATACTGTTATTAGCAGAAGCATTATCTGAATGACTTTTGTCTCAAGCACCACCACCAGCCCATCATTCTCTAAGTTCTGTTTAATATGACAAATATGCATTTATACAATTTATTTAATACAAGGCTGCTAAGCTTTAGTTTTAATTACTAAAGTTCTATCATAAAAAACTTGATTGACTGATGTTTTGTTCAAAAAACGTTTAGTGATGCTTTTTTTTTTTGTATTTCCATTTTTCATAAAGGCTCTTCTTGACAGAAAGCAAGTCTCTGTTAAACTTTACTGACTTCACTGAATGAGCGGCAGCACACGTGCACATGTGTCAGACAGACGGAGCGCAATTCATGTTTAGTGCAAAAATATTCATTTTGCTGAAATATTTGTTATTGGTTGTTAAATTTAGGTTTAAAATTCTACATGCAATGCAAGTAATTGATAAATAACTATAAAGGGATAACAACATGCAATTGGTTAAAAATGTCTAGGCCTATAGCAAATAAAGAAATGACAGTACAAAGGTTACAGTGTTCTGAAGAGTGAATGTATTTGTTTCTGCAGAATATGGCTGGGTGATATGGGCAAAAATTCATATCTCGGTATTTTTTGGCCGATTTGCGATATACGGTAAATATCTCGGTATTTTCATTTTTGTATTTGTATTTTAAAAATTTGTATTTAATATATAAATATTTCACTTACCATACATTCAACAATACATATTAAAGGCTATGAAAACAAATAAAGTGAATGTAACCATGTAAGCCTTTATA